TTGAACCACTTTGATTTTAAGATATTGTCTAGCGTTTAAAATTAATATCGGAAATATTGTATGACTTTTAGTCTTTTCTGAGTATTTAGAATAAAGAAAACATTGCAATAAGTCTTTTAGAGGAAAATCTTTCAAAGAAAAAAGCTTTCACAAAACTAAACACTGAAAGAAAATAACTGAATTGTCAAAGCTTTAGAACAGAAAAAGAAATTATAAGATATTTCATCAGAACAAAGGAAAAATATATAATATCTGGATCGGCAAAATAAGTAAATGGACTGAGAAATCGTCTTTGAGATTGATTAGAGAAATAAAAATAGAAAAAAAATATTGAAGGGGGATTATTAAGAGTATACAGTATTTTACTGTATTTGCATAAAAAGAATAGAAAGCCCACAATTTATGAAATTCATAGTTAAACGAAACACGCTCTATTTTCCTTTTTCATCCATAATATTATTGGATTTTTGAAAAATCTTAGAAGATATTCTTCATAATTTTTCTTTAGTTTTTATTATTCCAATCAATTTACTTCTTCCACATAAAAAAAGTAAGCATCTAATCTTGTTTCTATTTAGTTGTATATTTTGTGCCTTCAGCAATCTATTTATTATTATCAGTATGTAATACTGCTATAAGAGTTTTCATAATGAGTATGAGACTTTTTAAAATTTTTATAAAATCTCATTCCAAACAAGAATATTCTCTCCTGATTTTTTTTAAACTATACAATAGTGTTAACAAAGATATCACCGAGGATAAATCTTGCAATAGTCTCGATAATATTATTTTACAGATATTTTAGTTCTGTGTGTTCCGAACCTGGATTTTGTAAATATTGTTTATAAGTTTCTTTAATCAGTTTTATTCGTTATGAATATATAGATATCATTATCAAACTGACAGGTGTTAAAATAATTACAGTGACAACTGAAATAACTAATTATTAAAACCGTTGGGTATAACAAGTAAAACCGAAAAAAAAATTATTTTGGTTAAAATGTAGAAAAAATTTACTGACAAAGGGTAGTAAAAACATAAAAACTTTAAAACCAATAAAAACTGGTTAAAAACAAGGTGTAAAGGCTTTCATTGTCAATATTTTTAGTTTACCGATACACATAATAAAATAAGGACTGAAGAGGAGCATAAACCCCGAAATGCATATCCTTTGTAAATTACAGAAAATAAAAATCTACTTTTTCCATCAAAAGGAGTGCTCCTATATGGTATGTTCTCAATAGCAACTTTATACTAATTTCCAAAGAACAAACAACTAATTGAGAGAACAGCAAGCAATCAAGTACATTTATAATAATAATAAACAACGCTTTTTGCCCACGACTATAAATTAGACAGAATTAGATAACCTAATAAATAGGATAAAACAATTTGCAGGGCTTATCACACCAAGGCCGGCAGAAAGAAGGACCAGAACTTTTATAAAAAAAAAAAGGGTTGGTCTTTAATAATCACATTTCAAATTTAGGTAAGTATGCATTTCGGGTACAAGGACCCCCTCATCAGCTTACAAACACATGGTAACAACGTAACAAATACAATATCAATAATCTGCCAATGCATTGGGATAACCAACATATGCAGTGCACTGCATTTACAATTTCTCAATGTAACCCATACACTAAAAACTAAAATATCAAGTATAAATTAGAATGCAATGACAATGTGGTATAACATATTATCTGGGACCAGTAAATGTCTTAGTTTCTCCTACATTTTCCAAATTCTGGTNTTAATTTATAAATAGATTATAAATAAATCTATATATTTATTTCAAAAAACAGTAATAATTTAAAAAGTTTTCTTTAAAATATTTGAGAAATAAATGGAATGTACTCGAAATAATTAGTTAGAAGTTTGATTTATTACAGAATTGTTGATGAGAAACGAGTTTTTCTCGTATTCTGCAATGAAAATTTTATTTTTAGAATGTAATTGCACAATCAAGAGTAGAAAAATTGAAACTACTTCTTTATAAATCTCGAGTAATATTTCCTGCATTACATAATTAAAAAACATTGGCACTTAAAATTTAAAAAGAAAATGGCATTTACACTACTAGAAACACATTTTTTATTTTTTTCACAAATTATTAATCTTTTCTTAGTTAATCGTTTTTCCAGTGATAACACTGAAAGCAGAATTATGTAATGAATCTTAATGATCGCGTCTACAATTATATTAAATATAATAACGTGACTTGTGAATATACAAAATAGATATTTATTATATTTTATTGATTCATGTACTTTTATTAAACTGATCTTAAATATTTAATTCGTGTATTTATTATTAATTTCCATTTAGGAAAAGTCTTACCAAATATTGATCGTGAAAAGATTACATATAAATAATTTATTAAGAGAAGTTTCTTAAAGATTATTTATGCATAATCGTTCACAAATGTACTCGTATTTACATATTTTATAATTAATCCAGCAAAAACGTTGGTATGAGTTGAACAAATTCTTTTTCCTGGGATATATTGTCGCGTTATGACTGTTTATACATAAGGATTTAATATGATTGAGTACAGAAAATATAGCTCAATTTTCCTACTTTCGTTCTTAAAATCAATAGATTTATGTTAAACCATTTTCAATTTATTAAGTTGTTTACCAGCACATATAACATAGACCTTTACAATAGCTATAGGACTATAGCTTATACAATTATTACTCTAATTTCCAAAAATAAACATATTTATCCATTCCGTAGATAGGAGTCCAGGTATGATCAACTGAATAATTCTCGTCGGATTAGAACCTGGAGAAGGCGAGAAACCTGAAATAATCCGGTGAACATCGTGGAAAGAGAACTGCTTGCAAATGGTGATATCGTGGCTGCATTATGCTTAATGACTGCACTGAACTCCACGTATTTTTATTTCTATGTATGATAATGCCCGCGCACATAGGGCAGCACTCGTCAATAACTTTCTTGACAGAGAAAATATTTGTCTCATGGAATGGACATTTCCGGACCTTAATCCTATGTTGAACTTGTATGGAATGCTGTAGGGAGACGATTTTCATTCCGTCAGCCTCCATTAAAAGCACTCCAAAATCTTCAAAATGATCTTGTTCAAAAATGGACTTTGCTCCCGACAGAGATGATAACGTTATAACAAGAATGGACAATTTATGTGCAGAATATATGCGTATGTGCGTATGTGTAGGAAGCAACAATACGCTATATTAATCATTTACTGTAAAAAAAACGATTATGCTTAGTACTTTTTCTTGTTGTTTTTGTTTGACGTAATTTAGCTAAAATTTTTTCATTCAATTCTTTCGTTTCATGAAGAAGACAATGTTTTGCTTGATCAGTTCCTGAAATATAAGGTATATTAATGGTTATGCTTGCTTTTTAGTATAGAATGTATGGAAATTGGTACTGTATATAAATGTAACCATTTAGCTTTATATTCTTGAGGATTTTTTAATATTATGGCTGTATAGATTAATTTCTTGTATAGCAATAAAGTTTTATCGGATTTGTTTACAAATAGAAAGTTATCGTTATTCATTTGAATTATCAAATTAATATTTTTCTAATTGTCTCTTCGAATCGTTATTTATTAGAAAGAATTTGGAATGAAGACGTTTATCGAATTATAATGCGTAGCATTCTAGAATAAAAATATAAGTGCGATGTTTATGTTTTAGATATTCTGTCCATTGAATATTGCATGCAGTTGCAACATGCATTTAATTATGTTGTAACTCTATTATTAACGTTAAAAATCCGGTTATAAGGAAGAACATTTACTTAGAAACAGGATATTAGTTTTTTTTCATTTTGTTTGTAATTATTTTAAAAAGAATAGATACGTATCTTAATTATAGATTTTTTTTTTTCGAAATATGTTTAAATTATAGAAACCATCTTAGGAAAATATAAACAATTACTGTATATTTATTGCTGTTATAATTAAATGGAATTATTTTATTGTTCAAAAATTCTCATTCAAATCTTTTTAAAAAATTAAATTATTTATTAAATTAAATTATTTTAAAATTATAATAAGAAAAACTCTAAGCAACTGATAAACCAACTAAGAAATATTAAGACAAGTTAAGAAACATGTAAAGATAAAATGATGGGCAGATGCCAGATAATTAAACAATAGTAACGTTAGGAAAAGCTAAATTAATAAAATGTATATATACTAAACAAACAAGATAAAATAATATTTAATAAATTAATTAAATATTTTATATATAAAATAGGCATAAACAGAGTTGTAAAATATGTAAGTTAAAATTTTTGCATTCCTTTCCAGTTTTTCTTGATTTTATTTAGATATGCTTTTTCGAATGAATGCGTCATAAATTATATTTTACATCTTTTCAATCCATAAGAACAATTATACGATAAATTAATATAATATAAAGAAAAACGGATAGGCATGGAAACGGATAAAAAGAATGATTTACTTTCATTTTATACAACTTACTGTCTCCTATTTGATTGCATAGTCAATTATATTGACAATAAGGAAGATAAAAGGGTATAAAAATCAGGAGATGGAATTATTTATGGCTCGAAGAGATAAAACAACGTTGAGTTACGACAGAAAAATCCGCATTACTAAGCCGTAATTAATATAAATGTTTAAATTTATAAATAAGTTATAAACCAACTAAAGTATGACTTTAAAAACTGGTAATCTAAGCTTTATCATGGTTAATATATTAAAAATAAAGTTATTTTTTAAATGTCGTGATTAAAACTTTAAAAAATTGAATATTTTTAAAATCAAATTTTATAAAACAAAAAATAAAAAAAATATTAATCGAATCGAAATAAATTACGACAAAGTGCTTTATCGTAGTTTGAATATTTTCTCGGTAAAGTTATTTTAAAACATTAAATTTTTAATTAATAAATTCGGCGATTGCGTCATTCGTGTCGAAAATAACAAGTTTTGAGCTGTCACGTGATGCACTGCGTCATCGGAAGCGCAGTTGCACCGTCCTCTTCCGGTGCATGCTCAGTGTTGTTTATACCGAAGAGCCGGATAAGTCGAACGTAAGAAAGTTAAAGGTTATCAAACCTTATCGTTAGATATTCTTTCTAGTTTATAAATATTTTAATATAAAATATACACCGGCCGATAATAAATAATAGTGTCGGCGTCGACGATTTTGAATAGAATTTAAACGCCGCCTAAACCACCTTTAACGTTATAAAAGGGGGCGTAGCGAAGATTATTAAAACGTCACGAAAAGGTGATTGGTTGGAGGTTGCTATGGAAGTTTCCATTCATCGCTGTATCCATAAGAAGATTTAGGCACAAGAGACAAGCTTGTCATACGTATCCTGTCGTTGATTCTCTCGAAAATGAACGAAGAATCTTCAATAACCCGCAATATTAAACTTACAACATGGGATATTGTGGTGGTCGTTATATATTTTCTATTGGTATTAGCCACTGGATTTTACGTGAGTATAATTTCTTTATTATAGAACCTGTTTGGTAATATTATGAAATATCTTGCATTATAAATATAATTTTGTGTCATTTTTGCAATAAAATCTTTATTTTGCTTTCATTTATTAATAAAAAAAATTATTTTTTACTTCAGAAAACAGTTTTAAATATTAGAATTGGTTTTTTAATCATTATTTTTATTGTATTTTTGATTTTTTTAACTTAAAATTTTGTCTAATTTTTTTTTAATTGCTTATAATTTCTATCTTTGTTAATTACAGAAAGCGCGGTTTCACTTAAATATTATTGTCATGATAGATGTATCGAGCTTTCGATCGTTTTAACTCATTGAACTTCGAACCGATCGAATGACATTATTGAAATATCATTTCGCATCATTATTTTTATCTTTTTAAGGAGAGAGTTTAGTTAATTCCTGTTTGAAACAATCTTATTCTTATGAGAAGGTCGTAACGCAAGATGAAACATTTGTGAATGGATTAAACATTGATTAAACGTGGAAAATTTTAGTCTTTTTTATATATTTTTACTTCGTGTGCATAATAATAATAATAAAATTCCTATTGTAAAATATCATTACATCCTCGAAAATGTGATCTGTCTATTGATAAATATTTGGAATATTCTATGTAACCGGATTTTTAAAAAATCTCGAATATGCAGTATTAAATGTATATTTGCCAAGAGATATTTTTTCGTATAGTTTTTGTAGAAGAATTCACTAATTCGCATATTTTAAGATTTTTCTAGAGTATTCTCTAAACTTGGCATCCATTCCAACTGTTCTGTCTTAACGTACGCGACACGATGACACATTTGACCTTATCGCCATAGTAACATGGTGCAGTATCGGATGTAATGTATCACGAATCGAGTTTTCTGCAATTGTCAAAAATCTTGTTGTTATACACGGATACGGTTTTATCACCGTCTCGATTATTTGGCCGAGAAAACCTGCTTTTCCTCAATGGAGAATTATCGTGCAGTGAAGTAACATTGTCAATAATTTGGAGTTGAATTTTTAATTCTTAAAAATATAAATAAATAAAATTTAAAAAACTGGTTATTTTCACTTAAAAGATACGATAAATTCTAAATCTATTATTTATCTTTATTATTTATTGTAATCGTGAACTTGAATAAATTGTACAGCACATATTCTTTTGATACTTGTTAATAATTAAACATAATTGTTTTTACTTCCTGTTTAGTTCCTGTTTTTACTTCAAATAGATAAATTCTAAATTATATTTACCAAAATATTGTATAAAATATTTTATTAAAATATTTTAGTTTGTCATATTTTTTATCTTTTCATTTTTGTGATTATTTTAATTATTAAATTAATTTTCTTTATTCGTTATTAGTCTATGTGCAGAGCTAACCGGGCTACGGTCAGTGGCTACTTCTTAGCTGGAAGATTTATGTTTTGGCTTCCGGTAAGATTTTATATATTATTATTAATTTAAGCTGTTCAAATTTAAGATTTAATAATTTTATATAATATAATTTATACACCGATTTTATTTTAAAATTTTTTGTGAGATTATATTTTATAATTATTTCATGCGGCAATACGAATTTGTTGTGGATTCTGTGTATATAACTTATTTTTTTATGTCACATATCTATAAATGTTTTGAAGACACGTTGTGCAGCTTTAAAGTATCTGCTGTTTTGTATTAAAATGGTGAAATATGTAAACAGTATTTTAACATATGTAAATAAACTTCCATAAATCGTATTTTTCAAAATCAATAATATTCGCTACGACTTCGCCTGCGCCGATGCTCTGTTAATTCAACCAATTGTATATAATAAGAAACTTTTATTTTTTAAAATTACTTGGAATTTTGTTCAAATAAATTTCTCGTACTATTATTGTAAATCACTTCAATTTCTTTTAGCTGATGCCAAAGTGACGCGATATCGTCTCTTGTCAATTAATGCTTTTTATAGCGCCTGTCCACTTAATTTAAAATTTGATCAGTAATAATTTGCATATTTTATTTAGATTTTAAGCAATATTAAAATTTATTTTTTGTACCTTGTAAAAATTTCGTAAGAATATCTATATATATTTTACAAAACATGTAAATTGTTGTAAAGCGAAAAGATGTCATGTTATGTCTTTAAACGTCTATCATTTTGCTGCAGAATTGAGAAAAATCACGATGATATTTTTAAGAAATTTCAAACTACATTTTTAAATCAATAAAATTTGAGTGATTTATTTAGTTTTGTGACATTTGTAACACAAGGAAAGATATATAAATAAAAACCTTAACTTACGCTTCATTTCATATTATTACATAGGCCTACTATGTAATAATTTTCATTATTTATTCCCAGTATTTTTATTTTCAGGTTGGAGCTTCGCTATTTGCTAGTAATATTGGAAGTGAACATTTTATTGGTTTAGCTGGTTCTGGGGCAGCTGCTGGAATTGGAGTTGGGGCATTTGAAGTAAATGTAAGTTTTCCCTTTTCTTTTAATGAATGGTTTTCCAAATAAGTGTATAATTTTCGAAAATTAAAATTATATATATATTATATTATTATTTCAGGCCTTAATTATACTGCAATTGGCAGGATGGATATTTTTACCCGTTTTCATTGCGAGTAGGGTATGTTTTTTAATCTTTTTTGTTACAAACATAATGAAAGATGTGTATATGAATACTAAAGTTGTGTTATAAGTTTTTTGAAAAAACTCAAAAATGATTACATAAGTATTATAAATTATGAACTTTTGGATATGTATTATATTGATATGTATTTATTGAATATGATTACACTTTATAAATGTTTACACTGTTTTTAAATATGCAAGTTCAGTTTCATTTCTGAAATATTCCATTATTTTAAACTTCAATTACAAACTAAAAATCTCATTCTTTAATTTGTTTGCTTTACGATAATTTATTTTTAAAAAACGATAGATTAGATTACATTATACGTTTCTTTTGAAGTCCCTAACAAAATAGATGAAAAAATCGTAAAAGTCGATGGATACCGAAAAAAAAATATGCATTTACCTCTGCTTATTTCTATATATTTTTTTCGGTCGTATTTTATAGAAATTGCATTTTGAATTATTAATCACTATTAAAGTATTTTAATTCTTTTGTTAGCCATTACAGAGAATCTATCGTCTTTGTTTTTAGGAACTTTACACTTTTTTCTTAAGGGTACTTGCGTTAATGGTTTTCAAACCTGTCTATATATATTAATATTATATAATGCATATCGGTTTATTTATTAAGCTCTTTTTAATAATTTTAAAATTTTTCGGTTATAAAGTTGATTTATTTAAAACAAAAACGACCAGTTAATGAGATATTAAAAAATATATATATTCCTGAAATTTTCAAGTTTTCATTTTAAAAAACTTGAATGAGTAATTACAGTATTAAAACTAGATTCTTACCAAATGATTTCAAATTTATATTAATGTAGAAAATTAAACGATTTGCCTAATATTTCAAATTAAACGATGAGAATATGATCCGTGGTTTAAAAGATTAAATAAAATATATTTGAAGTATAATGAAACAAAAGCTGTATTCTTTTCCTCAAACATCAGTTACATATATTTTGATAACCTCAGTAATCCTTAGAATAAGGTTCATGTTGAACAAAAAAATTACGTTTGTTTAGAATTCATCAATTATAATGAATTCTTCTGGGGAATTCCCTAATGTCTTCATATTTAGCGAAAGTTATATTTTGGAAAACTATTCGGCGGAAATTAATATGAATTCATTAATTGGAATTTATATAATTTTCAGTAATCTGCTTATGTAAAATGTGAGGCAGAGGTTATTCCCCCAGTGTTTCCAGTGAAAGTTAGAGTAAATAGATTATTGTTATGCAAGTTAAATTTCAAAATTTGATTTTTTTCATGGAAAATATAGGCTTATAATCTGAAGACAATTTTGTTAATCTAGCATCAATTAATTTATTATTTAGGAAGTGATTACATTTGTTTTGGTGTGAAATTTTGTTTTTCTATTAAAACGAGCAATTATTTATTGTGACATCGTCACAATGCCGAGCTGCGATTTTTAATCATATTTTTAATGTATTTAATTTAAAACATATGCTTTCCACCTCAAATTAGTAGTGACTTGCCCCTGTAAATCATACTTTACCTTTAATAATAGAATCGTGCTGGTCATATATCTAACACCTTTCAGGGGAAAGTGTTTGAGTTGAAATAACGTGACTTCTGGTTTCCACCGGAAGTTCGTATATAGTTAATCAGGACTTCCTGTCCCTAAACTTTCTATACATAATCTCGTCTTTTATCTATAAAACTCCGTTCTCGAGATTGATGAAGGAAGGACAGATGGACGGACGACAGTGGGGATTTATAAGTCTACAATTTTTTCAAATTGCGCCCAATGACAATCTAACAGATTACAGCAAACAGTAGCATGCTGTTTTATTACATTTAAATGAATTAATAAGATGTGATTTATCGTTTCAAAATAATAATCAAGATTTATAAATAAATGATTCACTCTATAATTTTATTTTCGATCTATTATGTTCGTCTAATATAATTACAATTGAATAACGTTGTATGTTAGCATGTTTAAAATTAATGTATTAAAGCAGAACATAACTAACGTGTATACCGTAAAAACAGATTGTTAACAGCTATTTTAGTTACAGATTAATGTAAATCTAAATCTATATCATTGTGTTTGTATAATTTATATACATATAAATATATACAAACACAATAATTATTCTAATGAATTCGCAAAACATAATCCAATATAATTAAACAGATTTAATTATAAACTCCTGATATATTTTAAATTTATAAACTGTAATATGTTATGTTTGAATACTTATAACTTTTTTAAAATCATATTATTTTTAATATTTTTGTTTTGGATTTAGTTATAATTATTGACTTATCTTTTTTTTTTATTCTGAAACTGTAATTTAAAAATAATGTAAATATATAAATCTGTTTTTTAAAAACGTTTGTACTTTTGATTATTATTAAATTATAATGATTCATTAACTGATCAAATTTTGAATTGCTTTTGTTTCTACTTATTTTTTAGGTGCTAATTATTAAAACTAAATCTTTATACAATGATCACTAAAATTACAAAAAATATTAATCACAAAAAATAACATTTGACTTTACCTGAAAATTTTTAAAAATGTGGAAATGAATATTTTGAACTTAAAACAAACTTTGATTTTATTCTATTATTGTAAAATTTAATTCAATGTTATTTCAATTCAGTTATTTTATGTGAAAAAATAAATTTCGATTACAATAAACATTAATTTTACTGAACATTATAATGGTAAATAATAAAGTTACTACGATCATTTTAATGTAATATTGCTAATCCAATTTACATATTAAGTACTATATGTCATATAAATCAATGTTTCATAATTAAATTCAGTATTGTGTAATTATAACATGCTAAGTTTTTTAATTAGATCAGTGATTACATATTTTCAAATACAAACTATAAAGTTGTTTTATAAATTTTAATATAAAAATAGTTTCATGATAGTTGCACGTTTTAAAAATTAATTTCTAATTAGTCACCTTACTAAGTATTTTAAAAAATGATTATTTTAAAGTAAGTAAAAAATATTAATTTACATAATTATGTTCTGAGAATTTGTTTATTTGAAAGAAAATTATAGGCTGCTATAAGTAAAGAGAACTGAATTTGATCTAATTATACAGTATAATATTAAAATCAATAAACATCTTTTGACCTTACTGCTGAACTGTTTTTTAAATAAATCCATTTATTTACTTACGTGTTAGTTAAAGGTTAAAATGTCAATAGCACTGTATATACATTAAATACGTCATTATTTCTATCTTAGAATGATTTCTCAGTTGTGTTACTTTTTATTTGTTACAAATTAAATTTTTAAGTATTCTTATTAAGCTATTTTCTAATTATGTAATTGTAGTCTTTCAAGTAATATTTTAAAATGTAATAAAATATTTGAAAGATTTGTTTTTAATCATTAATTTAAACATTTTTAAATACAACAAATTAAAATAAACATAATAATGATGAATTAACGAATTTTCAAATTTTATTTTTTTCAATTTAAGGGTGGTTTTAAAATTTATTCTAAAATGTAACCTAAATATCAATACTACAATACTTTAAATAATGAATGAGAAAAATATTGAATTTAAACATAATTTTAATGAGTGTTTACATCTGACTACTATAAATACTTGAAAAGAGGTGAAAAAAATCAATAAAATATCAGATTCAGCTATTTTTACCTTAAATTTTTTAAATAATAATAATTCATAATATGTAAATATTACTTAAGCTCGTATTTTAATATAATTAAGTCTAGATCAATCGATGATGATAAAAAACTTATTTTCTTGTACATTTTTACCTTTGCATTTAAAGAAATAAATGTTATAAAACGAAATTTCCTTGTTAAATTTTTTTATATACAATATATAACATTGGAAAATTTTAAATTAAAATAATGTAAACTTTCAACTTCTGGACTATTCAGTGTTGAACTGCATTTTTATACTGTATATTATTACCGTAATTTAACAGTGAAACGAATTATACAATATTAACTTTCAGTTAAGTTACTTTCATTGTTAAACTATGATGAATAAGAAAAATACATCGTTTTGTTGGAGTTGAAGAGATTTCTAAAATTGTACTTTTTATAGACCTATAAGTAACAAACAAATTACAGGCATACCTCGACTTACGTCGGTTTCGAGTTACGTCGTTCCCGATTATACGTCGCTTGTTAAAAAAGTATATGGAAAAATAAAAATCAAGTTTAAGTCATTTTATTCGACTTTACGTCTGTCCGCCACAAATATTGAAGTCGTAATATCACTAGATAAACGTTTAAAGCACATAAAATCATATTAAAATATATACAAGTATGTACTGTATTTACAGTACACGCATTCGTAAATTTAGATTACTTTTTTTGTACTATATTAAAAACTAAAATTTATTTGTTTGTAAGCTTAAAATAGATTTTTATTAACCATATATTATTTAAAATGCTTTCCTAGTGATAAGTAGATTCGGAGACAGGTAAATTCGACTTACGTCG